AACCCACGATTTTATGTGTGTGACCAGGGAACGTTACCTCTAGACCACCAGGACACTAAAAGCAGTCCTAGACTTTGTTATATTTCACACAAAGCGTGTTCATCGAGCGTATGGCACCGTGAACCTCCAATTCGGGATTACCCATGCCTCTTAGGTGATCAGAGTAACGTTTTGCCAAATCCAGCTTCGAAACACGAGGTTCACGGCGCCATAGCCTAGATGAACAGGCTTTGTGTGAAATATAACAAAGTCTAGGACTGTTTTTGTCTCAATGTCTACACAGCGAGTGAGTTGATATGTATATATATATATATATATATATATATATATATATATATATATATATATATATATATATATATATATATATAAGGGTGGTCCAAAACTATATGGTAAAAAATATAAGTAATAATATATTGCCTCCACAAGCCTTAAAATTGTCCATTTCGTTCATAGATAAGGTCTGTAAAATTTTATCCATATTCATTAACATTTAGAGGTCAATCCATTTTGCATATTATACTTGTAGTGTAGGACTGAATTTTCTTGTCCGCATGATACAGTCTTAATATACACAACACATTATATTGGGTACAGAGCAAGTGGGCGTAAGCAAGCAGCTGAAACAGACCGAAAATCATTTTCTCCAGATGACCTCTTCTCCTACATTGGGACGGAAAACTCCTTCCTGACGTACAGAACACAACTGCTAGTCGCATTGCCATTGTGGTGACATTTAATGGACAAGAGAAGCTGCTAGGAGTACCCAAAAAAGAGAGAGAAACTGGAGAAGCACAGGCCGAAGCATGTTTGGAAGCAATTAAATCATGGAATGTTGAGAAATTGGTTAAAGGACTTGTATTTGATACTACTGCTTCCAATACAGGATTACATCGTGGAGCATGTGTCCGCATTGAAGATGAACTGGAACAGGAACTTGTTTGGATAGCATGCAGACACCATGTGCTAGAAATTATGCTAAGCGATGTCTTCAGTTTGATCTGTGGGTCAACTGGAAGTCCTGAGACTATTCTGTTTAAGCGCTTCAAAAAGCAGTGGAGGTCCATTTCGCTCAATGACTTCATTCCAGCACCAGAAAGCATGTTTGAGGACCCAATGCTTCAAATTCTAAGGAAGGAGTTGCTTGAATATTTGCCAGTAGCCCTGCAGGATAATCAGCCACGAGATCATTATAGGGAGTTTCTAGAACTAGCTCTTTTGTTTCTTGGTGGACTGCCAAGTAGTAAGGTTTCCTTTCGAGTTCCTGGTCCTACACACCATGCAAGATGGATGGCAAAAGGAATCTATGCTCTCAAAATCTATCTGTTCAAACATCAATTCACATTATCAACACGGGAAGAAAACAATATCACACAACTGGCTTTGTTTGTGAGCATAATGTATGTGAGATTCTGGCATGAAGCACCAATGGCTGTTCGAGCTCCATTCAATGATTTGCAGCTAATGAAGGTTTTAAAGGAATATCCTCACGAGAAAGTTGCACACGCAGCACAAGCAGCAATTAGCCGACATCTCTGGTATCTATCAGAACATCTTATCGGTCTAAGCTTATTTGATGGCAGGATCGATACTGAAACCAAGAAGAATATGGTACAAAACTTCCAGTGCCCAAAGAAACAGGACTTTTCAAGGCGTATTGTCCTATCTGATGAAACTCCTATCAGTAATGTGGCCTCATTTGTTACTGAGCGTACATTAGATATTTTTGATGTTCTTACACTAGATGGCAAAGAAAGAGCACAACTGTTCTTGAGTAAGGATCCCAAAACATGGAAAGACGATGAAGTGTTTATCACAATGAGAGATCGTGCGATAAATATGAAGGTGGTGAATGACAGCGCAGAGAGGGCAATTGCTCTCATAGAGCGTTATAATGAGTCTATAACGCAAAATGAGGACCAAAAGCAGTACCTTTTACAGGTTGTTGCAGCTCATCGCAAGAAGTTACCAACGGCAAGCAAAGCTGCTATGATGAAGGGATACAAATAAAGAATGTGTATAAGAACATAAGAACATAAGAATGGAGGAAACTGCAGCGGGCCTATTGGCCCATACTGGGCAGTCCCGTTTACACCCAACCCCTATTGCTCATATGAGCATCCAACCTATGTTTGAAGCAATTCAGCGTATTCGAGTTAATGATGATATTTGGTAACTTGTTCCATTCATCCACTACTCTGTTTCCAAACCAGTGTTTACCTATTTCACGCCTAAATCTAAATTTGTCTAATTTAAAACCATTGTTACGAGTTCGCTCCTGGTTGGATAATTTGAGTACCTTTGTAATGTCCCCTTTGTTTAGCCCTGTCTTCCACTTATACACCTCTATCAGGTCGCCCCTCGCTCTACGTCTCTCGAGGGAGTGCAAATTAAGATGCTTTAACCTGTCTCTATACTCAAGGTTCCTAATGCCCGGGATTAGTCTTGTCATTCTCCTCTGAATTCTTTCCAAGGATTCTATATCCATTCTGTAATACGGTGACCAGAACTGAACTGCGTAATCCAGGTGTGGTCTCACAAAGCAAGATACAGTTTTAGGATGACCTCGCTAGTCTTGTAACTAACACTCCTTTGTATGAACCCAAGTACTTTATTAGCCTTGTTACGAGCAAAAACACATTGTTTACTTGGCTTAAGGTTCCTACTTATCATTACTCCTAAATCTCTCTCGCAGTCGGATTTCTCTATGGCATCGTTGTTCATCTGGTATCTGGTTTCCCTGTTTACATCTCCTATACTGAGTACTTTACATTTGTCGACATTGAATTTCATCTGCCATTTTTCAGACCATTCGAAAAATTTGTTTAGATCTTCCTGTAGTTTTGCCGAGTCCTCGTTAGATTTGATAACACGTCCTATTTTAGTGTCATCAGCAAATTTACTTATGTTGCTGTCTATGCCGATATCTATGTCGTTTATGTATATAATAAACAATAATGGTCCAAGTACTGAGCCTTGGGGAACTCCACTTGTGACGTTGCTCAAATGGGACTTAGTGCCGTTAATGCTCACTCGATGTTTCCTGTCCTGTAACCACGCCCTAATCCATTTAAGGATGTCACCTTTGATGCCATGAGCTTCTACCTTTCTAATTAGTCTTTCGTGGGGGACTCTGTCGAAGGCTTTGCTAAAGTCGAGATATACCACATCATAATTGTGCCCCTCGTCCACTGATTCGAAAACTGATGAAAAGAATGTTAATAGATTAGTTAGGCAAGAACGTCCGCTTGTGAAGCCATGCTGGGAATCATTGATCAATCGGTGCTTCTCCAGGTGATTTCGAATAGAGTTTGAAATGATTGCTTCCAGTAATTTGCCTACTATTGATGTTAGACTGATTGGGCGGTAGTTAGAGGATAGTGATCTATCCCCCTTCTTGAAAATCGGTATTACATTTGCTATCCTCCAGGATTCTGGTACTACACCTGTTTTTAAGGACATGTTAAACAACTTTGCTAAGGGCATACTAAGCTCTTCCTTACATTCCTTTAATATTAGTGTTCTAGAGTTATTTAGTTTGTAATTTGTAAAACTTATAATTGTATTTTGCTGAATAAAGACAATGTGTTTATAATGTGTTTATCTAGCCCCGAAAAATCCTTATTACGTACTAAATGGAAAAAAAGAGGACATTGGATTGACCTCTAAATATGCTTTAAATGATCCAATTTTTTTCTGGGATGCATTTTGTACCTAATGGACAAAAATAAACCTTGTGGAGAAAACGTATACAAATATGTGATATTTTGGACCACCCTAATATATATATATATATATATATATATATATATATATATATATATATATATATATATATATATATATATATATATATATATATATATATATATATATATATATATATATATATATATATATATATATATATATATATATATGCTGATAACCACAAGGAAAGAAGAAAACACGAAGTTCCCAAGCGCTTTCGTGTAATTCACATCTTCAGGGGTGAGTACAGACTAAAGAGAAGTACAAAACAAGGTGTATATATATACAGAGGAGGGTGAGACCAGGTCCACAATGGTCAGGTATTAGGTAATGACCCTACTAATCTTTAAATAGCACAGCAACGGTCGGTAGTCAGGTCAGAGGGTAAGGTGACCCAACCTTCTCACCTGGTTACAAATCACCTAAGCGGCACGGGTGGTCCCCATTAGAGGTTCACGGCGCCATAAGCTCGTTGAACAGGCTTTGTGTGAAATATAACAGAGTCTAGGACTGCTTTTAGTGATCTGGTGGCCCAGAGGTAGCGTTCCCCAGTCACATTTATAAGACCGCGGGTTCGAATCCTGGCTGGGTGAGGTGTTCATTATATGTAGAAGTCCGCTTGCTTTATCAGGCCAATGAAAAAAATATATATATATATATATATATATATATATATATATATATATATATATATATATATATATATATATATATATATATATATATATATATATATATATATATATATATATATATATATATATATATATATATATATATATATATATATATATATATATATATATATATATATATATATATATTAAAATCAAACAATATTAAGCATCTCGCGAGAAAAGTTTATTTCGGGCGTGATGAATTATAGAATAGTATCCCTGATGATAAAACCTTTCTTAAAGGAGAGCTTTAGTGTTTAGAATATTTATTATTATTACTATTATTAATATTATTATTATTATTATTATTATTATTATTATTATTATTATTATTATTGTTGTAAATTGTTTGCTTTAACGAATACTTTTTGAAAGTGAATAAAAAATGTTTCTGCCCAAAAACTATTGGGGAATGCTAATTCTGGTTCTCGTGCCTTAGACCTGAATACTTGGGTAACGGATAGCTTGTGATAACGGCTTTTGTGATTTATAGTCTAATGGCACTCTACTAACTTATTTAATTCTTGGCCTCAATTTCAACTACCATGCCTTAAATGAATAAAAAGATTGTACTCACCTTCTGAAGTCCTTGGCCCAGCAAGCATAGATGACGGGATTCATGGCAGAATTGATCCAACCGAGCCAAGTGACAACACCATCCACTAGTGCCGGTTCTCGGATGCATCGCTCCCCACACAACCCCGATAGAAGATTGGTGACGAAGAATGGCAGCCAGCATACGATAAACACACCCATCACAATGCCCAATGTCTTAGCTGCCTTTTTTTCTTTGGCAAATTTACAAAGTTTGCGAGAAATTGAGAAATTTTTCAGGTTACGGGCAACCACTTTAGTGGAGCTATCCGGCGAGATACCTTCATGCATAGTGCCCAGTGGATAAGACTCTCCTTCCTCGAGAGGTGGCCCTATTCCGTGGGGATCACTGATGCCACCGTTTTCTTGGGTGATGCTGCACGTTTTCCCTGCCGGGTAATTGGCTCTGTGGACGTCATTACCATTACTACTGGTGCTTCCACCGGTTCCGCCGCCTCCACGGTGGATCCGGAGAGTTAATTCCATGTCTCCATTACCTATGGAAGATACTAGCTTCTGACCCAGCTTTAGAGAGCGCGTCTGTTCCGTGGCTGCACGGTATATACGGAAGTAGGTGAAGACCATGACAAATAAGGGCCCATAGAAACTAATGATAGAAGAGAATACAAGGTAGGAAAGGTCCTCTGTGAAGGGACAAACTCCAGCAGGATGAGGATTTGATACCACTCGCCACCACGCTATGGCTGGAAAAGAGATGAGGGCTGAACATACCCACACTAGGGCGATAAGTAAGCAAGCCCGTCGAGGGGACATACGACTAGGGTAGCTAAAAGGGTCTGTGATGGCCCAATATCTATCTAATGATATAACACACAAGTTGAGTATGGATGCTGTTGAGGCCAGCACATCAAAACTACGCCATACATCACAAAAATCTGGACCAAAAGGCCAATAGTCGAATGAATCGTACAGGGCACTGAAAGGCATAACAAATGCTCCAACAAGACAATCGGCGACGGCTAGCGACATGATGAAGTAGTTGGTGACCGTATGAAGGTACCGCTCCCGGGTGACGGCCACTATCACTAATCCGTTGCCGAAGATGGTAGAAACAGCGAAGAATAGGAGCAAAAGACACAGTGCTAGGCTCTCCGGAGTAATAACTAACGGTGCTGCATCCTCAAGCAAGCAACCGGATCCATTGAAGGAGAGATTCTTACACGCAAGTGACTCATTGAAGTTTGGAGGTGAGTCATCAGCATTCCATTTCCAAGAGCTTTTGTTGATCCAGCCAGTGGCGGTGTCTTGGGCATCCAAAAGCAGCGGCCCTGTTGTGTCTGGGGTCGTGAACCACCCTGATGTGTCAAGAGCAAAACTTATACCATAATTTTTCCCTTCATTTTCACTCCCGTTTGTATTGTCTTTTTCTAAGAAATGACTTTTATAACTATTGTCTGCAAACCCTTCAGTGCCACCGTACCCGACATTCTCGGTTACTCCAGTAGCATCAACTTCTATGTCCCTCACACCAGGCAAAGTTTTCAGAAGCCAACCTCTGCCACCACCTGATTTCGGTGTTAATATCTGATCTGTTATTGTTTGTTCACCAACAGGGGGACCAATGCTCAAGGGGACCAGAGGTGAGTAGGCAGGCTCGCTTATAACTTGCTGCCAACTATCCCCAGCCTCGGCCTTGGGTGTTGACCCATCAAGAATGAACGGGGAATCGTCAAGGATTACACCAAGGTTGTCTTGAGAAAAATCTGACACCCTCAGCCCAAATAGACTGTGTACATGTTTCTCCCATTTGACAGAGCGATTTGCAGTGGTGCTAGGGATCATCTTCAGGACAGGAATGTTATGCGAAGTTAAAAGGTGTAGTAATTGTTCAAGTATTTGGCAGGTGGGGGATCGATCGCTGTGGTAATTGAGTCAGCACTATCACAGCACTTGTCAGGTGGAGTACCAGTGACGTACACTTTCACAGTGCACCCTGATGACTCGCGATTGAATTACACCTGCGTTGTGCCACTGAAATGTTGATATAATTTCCTATTCAATTTGTTTTATATATACATTATATAGATAGATTTATTTTTTCAAGGAAAATTTTAAAGACTGGATAAATTGTAGACAAAAATAAAAAAAAAATATGATGGCCAATGACTACAACAAACGACACTTTTCACAGAGAATGTTTGTCATATCGCTTATCACCTTGCTGCCGGTTTCCTTTGAAACACTCAAGACTCACTTTTCTTGAAACTACATTGCGGTTCTTCAAAGAGTAACACAAATGTTTTACGTCATGAATGTTTATTGGAAACCTGTTGCCTCGCTTTCTGGTTTACACTTGTAATCCACGAGCAGGGGGATTCTTCTGTCTGAACTTTAATGCTTGCTCGGATTTCTGGATGTCACTTCTTTTTCCTCCCTGAAACGAAAAGAAAGTGAGTTAGAATTCTTGTAGAAAAAAAACATAATTATAGGCTGCAATAGCAAATTTTTTTTAAAAGAAGTAGAGGAATTTCGAAATTATTTCGATTTTATTATAGAAACGAAAATTACTGAAAGCATTGGTAATATGTATAAAATCCGAAAAATATACACAAAAGTATCTTATCCTAGTTTTAGTTCCTTGTGATTAAGGATTCCAACATTATAATATCCATAAGCATGACTTGACTTGACTTGACATCTGTAGATAAGGTAGAGGACTATTGCTTGTAATGGTGAGTGGGAGGGCAGGAATCAGGATTGGAAGTTCTTTGGGGGCAATTTGGGGGAGGGAGGGGACTGGTTTAGGATCAAGGTAAAAGAGGGAGGAAAATTGAAGGGAAGTAAGAGATTAACAGTATTCGGGCTCAACCAGATATGTTGAGGTTATAAAAATTTTATTTGAACTTACATCTTGCGTGATTAGGTTCTAGCTCTCAAGCCGTTTATCATTTACTTAAAATATGTTTATTTTTGCAGTAGCCATTGTTCCAAGGATGGGGTGACTACCTCTAGCCAGGTTCTTGTGGACCTGGCTGAGTAACGTATCTTTTGTTTTAATAAGAGTGGAAGGAAGGGGCAAGAAGATAAGTGTTGGAGAGGCCAAGGATAGTGTCCTTTGGTCACTCTTATTTTTTTAATGAAACATTTTTCTATTTTAGAGAATTGAAGCTTTTTGTTTATAGTAGGGAGGTTTAATTTCTAAGAAGAGGTGTAGGATCCAACTTACTACTTTTGTTCACAAGGAGGTGGTCCTATCTTTTTGGTTTAATTGAAAGATTGAAGCTTGACTTGAAGGTACAGTATTTATTGGCTATACAGTTCTTTTTGTTTTTGTATTAAATTTGATAATTTTTAGATGTATTTTGGCATTGATGGTGGATTGTTGACTCTTATTCTGCTTAATCTGAACCAAACGTGTTCTTCTCTTGCTCTTCTTACTGGCTCGTTGTCGAGCCAGTTTGCTACAGTTTTTTAGTCAACTCTCGTACTTGTTCCCATGTTCTTTTGGCTTGGATGTAGATGTCTAGTTTATTGCGTTGATGTTGGTTCTTCTATGGAGTTCTTCGTTTGTTACTCTTTCTTCGTAACTGATGTTATATATGAATCTTAGGCTTTTATTTTGTACCGTTTGAAGCTTCTTGATTCTCGTTGCAATGAATGAGTTGGTTGGTACAGGCGGGTAGCATATTACTGATTTTATTAGTGCCGTGTATAATATCTTTTTGCTTGGTATGTTCAAGTTTTTTAATCTTCTTATTTTTTAGAGTTTGTTACGTAGTTCGTGGACATTTTCGTTGATGACGCTCTGGTAACCATTTTTTTTTTCAGTATCAGGATGCTGCCTTCGTTGGTGTATGGGTAAATTTCTCCATCTACTGTTACTGGTTCAACCTTTTTCTTGGTAATTGGTATGATTTTAAATTTGTTGATATTTGTCCGTATTTTCCATTTCTTTTCGTAGTCATTTATGATTTTTATTGCTTAGGCCGTATGGCGTGCCATCCTTGCTTCTGATTTTCCGGCATATGATATGATTTGTGTGATGTCATCGGAAAAGATAATGTGTTCGCTATGTTGCGTTGGTTCAGGTAAGTTGCTCGTATATATGGAGAATAGTGTTGGGGGATAGGATTCCTCCCTGGAGCACTCCGCTTTCTAGGTCGAAGGGTGGACCTGAATGGTTGCCAATTTGTTTTGGAGGTAGTCACATAGGATTCTTTCTATTTCTGCAGGTAGGTCTAGTTTTAGTATTTTATATGCTAGTCCGTTGTGCCACACTTTATCAAATGCCTTTGCTACATCTTTTAAGACTTTGTTTACTTGGTTTCCTTGCTGTTTTTCTTTGATTATGATTTCTGTTATTATTGTTATTGCCGTTTGGGTTCCTCTACCTCTTCTAAAGCCGAGTTGTCTTGGGTTGAGTTTGTTGTGGTTAACCAGGAACTTATCTAGTCTGTTAATTAGTAAGCGTTCCAAGAGTTTCCCAGTTATTTCCAGTAAGGATATAGGTCTATAGTTTATAATCTGCTTTGGATCCTTGCCTTCTTTGGGAAAGAAGATCATTTTTGCCCGCTTGAGGGCATCGGGAAAGTAAGCAGCGGATAAGGTTGAGTTGTAAATATTTATCAGGGCTTCCATTGGTCTGCTGGGCAGGTTTAATAACATGTTTCGGGTGATGCCGCTCATTCCAGGGGATATTTCTTTAAATTTGTGTAGGCAGTGTAGCAGTTCGAAGTGATTTTTTAATTTATTAGGTCTTGGTCTTTCTGGGTTTCTTGTGTGGTAGGGAGTCAGTCTATTGCTTTGTACTCTAGCCAGTCCTTAATTAACTCTTCGTGTTCTTCGTCAAAACTTTCATTTTCTTCTTTTGATATTCTGAAAATCTTCTTCCATTCTCTTCTGAAGGCCTCTTCTTTTTCGTTGTCTGTATAGAGGTTTTGTCCGTTTGGTCTTGAATGTCTGTTTTTTCGTGCCAAGTAGTTCGTTGATGTTTTGCCAGAATTTTCTCTTTAGTCCTTTGTGGTGTCTATATTTTGGATTAGATTGTTCCATTTTTCGTTATTAATTTGTCTGTACTCTTCTTATAGGCCTTGTTGGATTTCTCTTATATTACGGAGAAGTTTTCTAGTGGGCCCTGTTTGTTCTATAAATGTCCTAATGTTATTATATTGTACTTGTAGTGTCTTTAATTCTGTATGTCGTTAGTGGGGGTTGTCTGGTTGATTGCTTGTTTTATTGTGATGTATAGCTTGTCTACCTGTTCTACCTGTAGTTTTCCAATAAATCCTTATATTCCATCTAGTCTATTTTGCTCATCTGGAGCCTTTGTGGTATTTTTGTTTGAATTGGGCTGGTGGAAATTGTGAATATTATCGGAATGTGGTCGGTTGGGGTGATGGGGCCTTGTTCTATGTGGTAGTAAAGGAATACTTTTGTTGCAGAAGATTTTGTCGGGTGTTGAAACGCAATTTGATCCTATCCAGGTGGTTAGGTGCGGGCCCAGGTGAAGTAGTTTGCCAGTGTTGATTATACGTTCCAATGCTGTGCCTATCTGGTTATTGTTGCCGTTGCTAAGAATGTGGTGTCCTGCAGTGAAATCCCCCAGGATGTACACTCGCACCAAAAAGTATCGGTGCAGGGAGAGATCGACAACTTCCGAAACGATACGTATGCGCTGTGATATGTCGGGAAGGTTGGTAAGTGTATCCTCATAACCCCCCCCCCTCCACTAGGTGTTGCCATATGGCTGACAATTAGGGCTGCCAACATACGGCTGGAACAACTCGCCTCTCCCAATACCTATCGTCACTTGTCTCAAAATTTTCACACATAAGAACATAAGAACATAAGAAAATAAGGAGTCTGCAATAGGCTGGTTGGCCTGTGCATGGCACCTCCTGTCGACAGTTACTACCACTCTCTATCATCCAGTCTCCTTTTGAAACTTTCCAGCGTTCCAGCACTTACTACAAAGTTGCTAAGCTTGTTCCACTCGTCCTCCACCCTATTTGTGAACCAGTTCCTTCCTATCTCCCTCCTAAACCTAAACTTATCCAACTTAAATCCGTTCCTCCGAGTCCTATCCTGCTCGGATATTCTTAGAACTTTATCTATATCCCCTTTATTGATTCCTTTCACCCACTTAAATACTTACATAAGAACATAAGAATGGAGGAAACTGCAGCGGGCCTATTGGCCCATACTGGGCAGTCCCGTTTACACCCAACCCCTATTGCTCATATAAGCATCCAACCTATGTTTGAAGCTATTCAGCGTATTCGAGTTAATGATATTTGGTAACTTGTTCCATTCATCCACTACTCTGTTTCCAAACCAGTGTTTACCTATTTCACGCCTAAATCTAAATTTGTCTAATTTAAAACCATTGTTACGAGTTCGCTGGTTGGATAGTTTGAGTACCTTTGTAATGTCCCCTTTGTTTAGCCCTGCCTTCCACTTATACACCTCTATCAGGTCGCCCTCGCTCTACGTCTCTCGAGGAGTGCAAATTAAGGTGCTTTAACCTGTCTCTATACTCAAGGTTCCTAATGCCCGGGATTAGTCTTGTCATTCTCCTCTGAATTCTTTCCAATGATTCTATATCCATTCTGTAATACGGTGACCAGAACTGAACTGCGTAATCCAGGTGTGGTCTCACAAGAGCAAGATACAGTTTTAGGATGACCTCGCTAATCTTGTAACTAACAGTCCTTTGTATGAACCCAAGTACTTTATTAGCCTTGTTACGAGCAAAAACACATTGTTTACTTGGCTTAAGGTTCCTACTTATCATTACTCCTAAATCTCTCTCGCAGTCGGACTTCTATCATATCTCCCCGCACTCTTCGTCTTTCTAGGGAATGCAAGTTTAGTTTCTTTAACCTATCCTGATATGGAAGGTTTCTAAGTCCCGGAATCATTTTCGTCATT